AAGTTAAATAAAATTAGTTGTTTACTTCATATAGAGAGAGAAGGCATAATTTTACCTTTTAAACCCTTATTCTTTAACACTCATTAACAGAGCCAAAATTTGTTTTCTTTGAAAGAGTAATGATAAACCGAACCATTGGCAAAACTAAGTGAGAAAAGAGAAAAGCAAAGCAAAATAAGAGGAGTGAACACAAAACAACATTAGCAATAAAGCAAAAGACACAGTTAGAGATGCAGCAGAAATTAAAATATATTAAGGACATTTTGTAAAAACCCTAATAAAATAAAACTTAAAACTTCAAAAAAATGCTTAGAAACCATAAAGTGAATAACTGACTTTAAAAGTAGAAATCATAAATGGATGCTAAAAAAATTGGGTGACAGATTGTCACAGAACAAGATTTGCATGTTTTAAAATTATACCCCCATAAATCACATTGATTACAGTGTAGAAGAACAAAGCACATTCACAACAGAGAAATCTGGTGGATCGTCGTCAAACTCATGTCACCGATAATGCAAGAAAGTGACATTGTAAGCAATCGAAAAATACTTATCACAAAGAGCATTCTGGCCAATAGATTTAAGCAGAATCTAATTTCAGATGAATTAATATTGAGAGTCTGTAGAACAAATGGTCTGGAATTGTTCAAAATATCAATGTCATGAAAGCTAAGAAAAGGCAAGGAGCCCCTACAGACTAAAGTAGATGAAAGAGTTACAATAACCAAATGCAATATAAAATTTATAATTTTTTATTAGATCAAAAATGAAAAGAAATGATTAAAAATCATTTGCAGATGATGAGAAACACTGGGTAAGGGTTTCATATTAATGTTAAATTTATTTCACATGACACTGGTACTGATGTTCCTTGGGAAATATTCTTGTTCTTAAACAATACACAGTGGGTACAAACGGTCATAATGTTGGGAACCTACTTTTAAATTCAAAAGAAAAGAATAATAAACGAATTTTCCCTAAGAGGAAAATGCCTGTTGGCAAAATAAAAATGAAAAAAAGTACTACAAATGATAAAGTAAATTGAAAGAAAACAAAGCAAAAGAAAACATAAACCTTCATCAACCAACATAATCAATATGGACATGTTAACAGAAAACCTTTTAGGCCCAATGGCCACAGACAGAACAATTTCAACAAGAGAGTTAATAATGACAGAATTTGGTTATAATACATAGAATAAAATATATATTTATTAATTTTTACTAATAGAAATGACAAAAGGAAGACATGAAAAAAAAGGAAGGACAGACAAATCTTCTTTGCTGAAGAATTCCAAATAATATATGCATACACCTTTTAAGGGGTGGAGCTTAATCAGTATCTTCTTGAGTGTGGGCTGGAGTTAGCTACATACTTCCAAATAATAGAATATGAAACGAAAATACATTACCTCACCAGAGCAGAAGCCTAGCAGAGACCACCTAAGTGATCAAAGCTAACATCATCACTTATGAGTAAGACTGACTGTATGTACTTCCTGATTTGGTAAGGGCATTATCACTATTTGTAATTCTTCCCCAAGACATATAATCTCATTGTAAGCATGACAAAATGTGTGAACAACCTAAACTGGGGGGCCATTCTACAAAATACCTGACCATTTTATCTTTTAAAAATATTATTCTTTAAAGTCATCTAGTTTTATTTATTGTTTAAAACTGTCTAGTCATGAGACACAAGGAAAGAGAAATAGTCACAGATTCTAGAAGACTTACAAGACATTACAACTAAATGCAATGAGTTTATTCTGAAGAAAATCCTGAAAGAGAAAAAGTCATAAACTGGAAAAACTATTGACATCCAAGTAAGACCTGGAGTTTAGTTAATAATACTGTATGAATGTTGATTTCTTAAGCTATGCAAATATGCCAAAGTTATGTAGAATGTTAACATCAGAGGAACCTGGGTTGAAAGTATGCAAAAACTCTCTGTACTATCTTTACAACATCCTACAAATCTAAAGTTATTCAAAGTCTTACAGTTTAAGTTAAAAAAAAGCAGGAAGAAGACAAAGATGCATACTAATTCAATCAACAACATAATGAGACAGAAAAGAAACAGTAAAAGACTCGAAAAAAAATCTTTCTTTTCACAAACCATATCATCTTTTGCATAAATAAAATATAATTTCCACAGCAACTGTCAAAAACATGAAAAAGCTTGCTAAGTTTTCTAGATATAAGATCAATACTAAAAAATTGATTGCCTTTCTAAACACTAGTAATATACAGTTAGAAAATATAGTGCCAAAGAAAGATTTTAGCATTAGCCTATAAGAAATTTAGAACTAACTCTAAATAATGTGCAACATTATTATGAACAAAATTTTAAAACCATGTAGACATTAAGGAAGACTCCAATAAATGGAGCAATGTAAATGAAGTTCTCAAGGACAGAGTCGCTATCACTGTAATGTCAATTGTCTTCAACATGATCTGTACATTCAATGTTTTACAATAAAAATGACAATGGTAGTTTTCAAGGAACTATTTCTCAAGGTTGAAAACAGTAGCTTTCAATGAACTCTACAACCTATTTTTATATTAAAAAGCAAAACAGACAGAATGTTCCAAAATGAGAATAAAATACAGTGAGACTTGCTTATCACAAAGCTTCCATAATGCTACAGCAGTTAAGAGAGTGCCATTCAATTATGAAAAACAAAACCGACCCAAGTAACAGAAGCAACAGAGCAGACTACATACAGAAACCTCATCTGCGAGCTAGCTGACTTTGCACTTTGTTGGGGAAAAAAAGGACTGTTCAGTAAATGATGTTGGCACACTATTGGCTACCCTCCTGAAAAACTTCATACCACAAACACAAATAAATTCCAGATAAATAAAGGAAAATTAAAGGCAAGATTGAAAGAGTCAAACAGATCAATACAAAACGGGTAAAAGATATGAGCAGGCATGATAAAAAGGTAATATGAATACAAAAATTTCTCAAACTTGTTAATCATCAGAAAAACAAAATAAAACCAGTATGAGGTACAATCTCACTCGTATTACCAATTTTTTTTTTTTAAATAAGACAGATCAGAAGTTGGTGAGAACAGTGTGCAACAAAAATTTTTTGTGTCTTTTTGGGAAACGTATAAACTGGTCACTTTAAAAAGACAATTTAACTCTACCTAGTAAAGATGAAACTATAATATCTTAAGACACTGAAAACATTCTCAGAAACAGTCTCAACGTTTTCTTGCATTTTTGCACAAGGAGAACTGGAAACATGTCAGATGTTCATCAAAGTAGAAGACAAAAAAAGGTTATTTATTGTACATCAAAGGCAATACATGATCTAATAAGCTATCTGCCTGAACATGAGCTAATTTGAAAGCATATTTTTTTTGTTTTGCTTGTTTTGAAATGTTAAATCATAAAAGAAAACATGTAGTATTAATCCACTGATACACATTTCATAAGGGGCAAGGAATTAACTATTTTTGACAGATCACACAGAGAGAAATAGGTACTTCTAGTAAAATTATAGAGAAAATCAGGAGAATGAGTAACAAAATTTAGGACAATGATTATATTTTCAGTGAAAAAAAGAAGGTGACAAGAAGAAGGTGTAATCAGGGAGGAATACGGGTAGCAGGTGTCACATGGCTCTCTTGGTGTTGATCTGTGGGAAGCAGAACTTAGGAGAAAGCCCAAGCAGGTGCTAATAAAACTCCAGTGACTGCTACTTTTGTAATGAAGTCCTTTGTCTCTGACCCAGAAGCCTCCTGTCTTCCATTAGCATTCAGGAAACTGGTAGAATAGCTTACTACTTTGCAAATAGGGCAAAATCTTACACCTCTTGTAATTTTTGACAAGATTATGATACCTTGTTTATTAAAAAAAAAAAAAAAGGACAAGAGGTTCAGCACAGCATGATGAAAACTGCCTAAATAGGTGTTAGAAAAAATGGATTTAGCATTTGTTTAGGTACAAAATCTGAATGAGATATACGGCATCTGCTTTCACTCCTCTGGTCATTTTCTAAAGATAATCTAGTTATCAAAATCTAAAATTACAGATGTAAGGAAAAAAAAGAAATGCACAATCACAGAAAGAACAAATGTGAAGAATATGTAACTATGTGATGTTAAAGACACAAACTGTGATGACGGCAAGTACAAAGTTTATTTCATTTGTACTGAAATATTTATCTGTAATATACCATGAGATGAAAATTCTCTTTTAACTTGTATATCAAAGAGAAAAAAAAATCCAGTGAAGAGGTTCAAGTAAAATATTTTCATTTATACAAATGTCATTGAAATGAAAAATCTTCAGTAAGACCACCCAACCTTGACAAGTGTATTCATATGGGATTTACAGAGTCATATTTGTATGACATACAGTAGGTGGTCTTTTGCGTGGATGGAATACTCCAGCTAACTTTGGATCGTGAATGCTTCTCGGATAATTATGATGAATTCCTACCCGGCAAGGCATAACATTAGCCTAAATTTCTAATTCTGCTTTTTCAACTATATTTCTCTTGATGTAATATTCAAACTTCTTAGTACTGTGCATGTACATGTATCCAGGTAATATGTACCTGTGGATAGAGCTTTTTCTTTTAGTAGTTTATCATTTATTTTATTGATTTGGCAATGAGGAAGGTCAAATATAACATTTTTAGCACTAACTGCAACTTATGTTTTCTAGCATGACTACCTTCCTTTATGTAGCTTTGTATTCTCTATTCCTTATTTTAAATGGCTTTATTATGTATACTTTTTACCATAAATTATATTAAATCATTTCAGAAGTAGGTAGAAAGTAATGACTATGTATGCACATGTATGTGATTTTAAATAAAGACTTTAAATAAAACATAGCTTAAATAAGGTTAGAAATTTCTTAGATCATCCAAAAAATAAAACAGAAGATGTCATTTAAAATCAGATCACCGAAAATAAGCAATTTGAAAGACTTTAATAGTTGTTAAATTGTTGGAATTTCAAGTATGATAACTTACTTGCATATGTCACCTTCTGGGTCTTCAAGCCCAAACCTTTCATCAAATGTAAGTTGTATCCATACATTTTCCTCTGCTGCTACTAATCTCCATACCAAAACCATATTTCTTGGATAAGCACGAGGAAACCTTGGGCTGTGAATACTTCCATTAGTAGACACAGTAATAATTCTCTCATGCTGAGGATCTTGTACTCCTAAAGCAAAAATATAGACACAGACACACATTTAGAGAACAGATTTCAAAATTATAGTTGTCAAAATAAGTGTTTATTATTGACATTTTACCTCAGACAAGTGCTGAGTATGTTTTATTTGATATACACCAAATACCACTCTTTCCAGAATTGATCCAGGAAAAGGAATCTTTTATCATCATTGAATAAAAATGTTTTATATTTACACATGAAAAATAGCAAATTACTTTTTTAGAATTATTGAAATGTCAGCTACTAACTCTTTTGGAGTTTTAAAATCACAATAAAGCTGAGTTAAGATTCGAATTTCTGAGAAGGTATCAAATATGAGACATTTTAGAATAAAAATAAACTAGATACAATTCTATTTTTAAAAATACAAATAATTAATTAAATTCCCTAACTTAATTGCTGCAGAGCTAGTCAACTAATTATTCAAAGATTTGCATTAATTTTATATACGGCAAAATAAGAGGAGTTTTAAGAGAGCTGAGGAAAATGCAATGTGAAGAGAAAAGAGGCAGAAGTGGATTAGTAGAAAAGGCAGTTTTCAGCATTTCTCACTGATCTTTGACATGTCAATCAGCATAGCATACCACACACCATTTATGGCTTCTAACCTCTTTTTGTTACTATTGCTTTAGAAACTGAGCAGGCAGAAGGTTCTTAGTAATAGTTCATTATATGGACTCATAACTTCCGGGGGCAAAAAAGGTATGCAATATGAGTTCAGAGCTTCACATGAACTAGAATTACTAATAACCTCAAATCTTAAATGATTCTGAAAAGCAAAACAAGGTCAAAATAATGGTCTCAATTTCTTGTTATAAGGGAACTATTAGTACTAAATGAAAATATTAAAATGTACAAATATAAAGAAAGGTTGTAAGACTTCTCAGTGCATGAATATACAAATATGAATTTTAAATTTCCACGGGGAGAGTGTAGTACAAAATGGCTTCCAGGTTTACTAGGCATGGAATCTTTTCACATTTATGAAATGCTAAAAGATACTGTTAATAATATCTCTCTTCCTTTTTATTAGAATGTTGGGGAGAGAACTGAGGGAAAGGCCAAGTTGGCACTGCTGAGAAAAGAAGTGTTCTTATACTCAACCAGCTGAGATTTAGCTATGAGATGAAACCCACAATTGACAGTTATAAAATAAGCAGTCATTGAACCACACCAAAGAAATATAAGAACTAAGTTAGTTATAGGCTCCAGGCCATAAACATCAATTTAAGGATGCTAAATTCCAATGAGAAAAAAAATTAAATATCCCTTATTGAATTTCTAATACTATTTTTTTTTAAAGTGAGTTAGACTGGACCTTGAACACATCATGTGCATGGTAGGATATCTGACAATTTCATAGTGCAACTTTTATACACTCATAATATCAGAACAACAGTCTTTAGCAATGCCTCATTGGTTTTCATAATTTGGAGATATACTGCACAAAACTGAACACTGTATTTACAGTAAGATCAGGGAGAGATTACCATTACTTTATAAGCAACATTATTCATTCATTTGCCCCTCAACATCCCCTTCCTTTTATATACTTGATTACTCTCCAAAATAGGATAAATCTCATTGTTTTCACTGCCTTTGGATATGTCCCATCAAGTTGTGTAACAGAGTTAGTAAGGCCTATGAAATCATGACATTTTAGATTAAACCCTCATGCCAGCCCCTGTCCTGCCTTGCCCTGCCCCGAAGGTGCTGGGAACATGCTGGTGGGGCCTCATATCTGGCCAGTGCCAGAGGAGTCCCTCCACTCCACCCAGGGCTCCTTTGTCACAAATCTAAAAGGTTTTAGAACCACCCCCATACATACATTTTTCTTCTTTTTCCTTTTGTCTTTCTATTCTAGTTTTCTGCCATTTCCTCTTCTCCATTTCCTTCACTTCCAAAAACCTAAAACCCTTTCTACCAACCAATTCTCTGTTTCTCAACTCGGTATCTTAAAGCCTGTGTCTTCTCTTCTTCCTACGATGATCTCATTTTCTTTATGATAGGCAGAATTCTAAAATGATCTCCAAGTGTCCCTCATCCTTTTATAATCCTCTCCTTGAGTGTGTGAAATCTAATGGGATGTTACTCCCATGATTAGGTTAGTTGACTTTGAGTTAATCATATTTGGGTGCATCTCACTTTATCAAGTGAGCTGAAAAGATAAACTAGGTCCTTCTTAAACCCAGAGAAACTTCAAAGTATGAGAGAGATTTCAACAGGAGGGTGATTCCTTATTGCTGGCTTGGAAAATGCAGGAAGCCATGTGCCAATGGATGTGGGAAGCCTCTAGAAGCTAAGAACAGTCTAAGGATGACAGCCAGCAAGGAAATGAAAACCTCAGTTCTAAAAGATCAAGGACCATAATCAGCTTGGAAGTGGATGGTTCTCCTCAGCCTCCAGAAAGGAGTCTAGTGGGCACCTTTATCTGAACCTTTTAAGGCCCTTAACAAGAATCCAGTCACATTGTGCCTGGAATTCTAACTGACAGAACTGAGAGTTGATAAAGGGTACTTTAAGCTGCTAAATTTGTAGAAATTTCTTATATATCAGAAAACGAATATACCTCCTATGGCACACAAGGCTGTTTGAATTATGGGTATTTCCTTTTGCTCACAATTGTCTGCACTCATTACAGTAACGGCAGCTACTTTTCATTTAGTATTTATGTTAATCTAAATATGTTAACATTATTTCACATTAATAAAATACAATTTAAGAATATTGTTCTAGGAAACACCCCAAAAGATACAACGTCAAGGGTCATGTATTAGTTAGAACATGATTAAAAGTTAAGAACAGCTTGTTTAATCCTAAACTACCCTGAATAATTGTAACATTTTATTTATGAGATATAATTAAATAACTGAATGCCGCCATTATTCTCAGTGCTTAAATTTTTCCTCAGTAGTAAGCACCCTATACAGAATACATCTTCTTAATAGATGTAAATATTTAATATTGCTATTGGCTGCAAGTTTATCTATATATAAATAAAATAATCAACACGTTTTCTATGAATATTATTTAGCAGTAATATATCTCCTAAGAATATAGAAGGAACTATAAAGTTAGATGAATTCTCCATATAGACAAATTTTATTAAGAAAATAGTGCTTAGCCCAGGCACTGTGGCTTATGTCTGTAATCCCAGCATTTTGCGAGACCGAGGCAGGTGGATCCCTTAAGCTCAGGAGTTTGAGACCAGCCAGGCAACATGGCCTTGTCTCTAGAAAAAATACAAAAATTAGTTGGACACGGTGGCATGTGCCTTCAGTGCCGGCTACTTGGAAGGCTGAAGTGGGAGGATCACTTAAGCCCAGGAGGTTGAGGCTGCAGTGAGTTGTGATGGCACCACTGCATTCTGGCCTTGCTAACACCAGAGCGAAAGTTTGCCTCAAAAATAAAATACAAAAAAAATTAAAAAGAAAGTAATGATCATTAATTCTTGAAATTTAAATTCATAAACTGTCTGTTTTCAAGTATTTCTTTTAACAATGAGTTTTTCCCTATTGTCCAAAGTTTCTTCCAATAATCTACATATTTCAGAAGTACTTATAGTGAGTTTATATCAATAGTCCTCATTTTGGCAACTAGTATTTTCAATGGATTATTTTTTCCAATCAGATTTATTAAAATCTAAGATCTACCCTATTCTGCTTCAAAACAAATGCCTTTTAGCCAAGGCACTCATTACAAACATAGCAGTGTTTGGCATATAATCTAGAAAACTACATGGCTATTAAAAGATCTGAATTCTATTTTTATATCTTCAGTCATAAAGCTCATGGCTAAAATATATATACTTAAGTTTGTGTTTACATCTTTCTTCCCTTTATGATTCACTATTCAATTAGACTATAATTAAACATAATTAAAAGACTGAAAAGCTGGGCCGTATTTGTGGTAAAAAAAAAAAAAATTGTAAATTTTCTTTTAAGTTAAATTGCAGCTCCCAAAAAATTCACCTTAAAATGCAAAGATGTTTGCCACCAAACACTTATGATTTGCAGATGACTGTCAAAGTTTTATGTAAATCTCAAGCAACTAGGCCTATAATCAGAAGAAGAAAGAAAAAGAAGCGACAAATGTTAAGTCTACCAAATTCAGACTCTTGCTTATATTCTGCTGTTTTAACATCATTTTTTTTAACATACAACTTTACTAGTATTTTAGGGATGACAAAAGTTGAGAATATTTTATTGAATATTTGCTTTTCCTATATCCAACAGACAATATACTCAAATTACCAAAGAAATAAAACAAACATTTATAGTCAAATCACTAAAATGTGTATTACATGATCCTTGCATATTGTATATTTTAACGAGAATACATCTTGTACATCAATGAATTTGACATGAAAAATGAAAATATGTATAAATATTACATTAAAAAATTATTATTATAGACTATTTCAGATTACCATACCCAATGTCTCTTAAGGTAGAGGTACTGAACACTAAAATGAAGAAAAAATATAAAAAAGGAAAAGAAGAGAGATTAATGATGTAAATACTATAAAACTGTTGACTATATGTGTATATATACAATTCAGTTATATAGAATCACTATATATCTGTAAGTAGCCAGTTTATCACTTAAAATCAAAGCAATTCTATAATGTTTACCATGTATTATATACTCTTGCTCCCTTTACAGAAACATTATGGGTGAAAGAAGGGGGTAGTAAGAGAAACATAAAATGCAATTCAAATTATAATGCTTCAAAATGCTACATTATTAATAAGAACAGCACTGACAAGGAAGTTTCTGGATACTATATAACTCCTAAAAAATCATCCATGCCTTCATGCTAATGTTTTATGTTGATTTTAGCAGAAAAGAAATGCCAGGATTAAAATTAGGTAAAAAGAAGTAGGTCTCTAATCTTGGTTTAGTTGGGCAGTTCTGGATTCTGCTCTTCTGTTTCACGTACACAAGGCTGTAGCAACGTGTCACCCGTAAACAGATACGCCTCACAA